ATATCACTATTGGCAGCGTTTTCACCTCAGCCGTATACTTCTATCTACTCCTTTTGGCAGCGTTTGCACGAAACACCATATACTCTATCTACGACAGCACAAACAGAAGTGACGTATCACTGCTGATGGTGCTCCTTTTATATTGTGCTTGCAGGCAGACAGTTATAGCCTATTTCCACCAAGCACTTAAATGCATGTAAGGCCTCTGTTAAGTAAATGAAATGTCAAACGTTTCCCCCGAAAGTGAGTTAACTCAAACAGCTGATTTTTGTCTACATTTGCAGTTTACAAAATTTGCCACAACTATGGAAATCATGAATTCAAGAGACCGCATTCATTTTACTTGGCTATTTCTGCAATCTGAAGACTTGCAAGTGCAGATTATTTCTGCACGGACAAACGTTGCTGAAACGAATATGCTTTTATGCATGTTTCCATTTTCATATTTGTTTGTTTGTTCCCTCAAATTATTTATTTTGCGCAATCAGCTGATAGCTACCAGAGCCACGTATATTTTTATGTTGAGGGGATCGTTTGATATTTCACAATTGTTTTTTGTTTCTTATAGTTTTTTTTTGAAGGCGGAGAAGCATTATCTTCGCCAATTACTTAATATAGGCATTTATGTTAAAACTAATGCAAAAAAGGAATTTTTATTCAAAAACTTTCACCATGCAAAATAAAAATCTAGCCCCTCATTAAATCCGAAAATACACGACTCTGGCAAGAAGTACACCGAATCTTCCGAAATGATTACATTATTAGTGACAGCATCGAATGTTAACATAACATTTTCTGTTAAATTGTCGAAAGTGAGTTAACTCACTTTGAAAAGTGAGTTAACACACTTTTATACAACAACAAACACATGGGAATTACCGCATTTAAATGCGATGTTTAAATACATTTAAGCTAAAATGCATTTAAGGTGCGGTGGAAATAGGCTATTATGCACTGCCTTTTGTTGGTAGGCCTATCGCCTGTTCTTCTTTGCCATACTTAACAGCGACGGCTCGCTACGCTAGTGCCTAGCTTAAATGTTTAGTACTTATTTGTATTATGTACATATATATATATATATATGTGTGTATATGTATGTTTAGATATGTCGGTATATATATATATATATATATATATATATATATAAATATAAATATATAAATATAAATATATATATATATAAATATATATGTAATTATTTCTGTGCGTATTTCGTGTTATATGTATATATATGTTGTAACTTCTCTTTTCTTGTTGTTGTTGTTGCTGTGGAGGCTCCAAGACCTTGGACTTGGGATCTTCACACTGCCTTCATTTAGGCCTAATTTCGTTAATGTCCTGATGAACAAAATGAATCTATGTATAAATAAACTGATGTCGTAAGTTAGCGTTGGACACTCATTTTTATGCGTATGTATGTGCAGTTATACTAACTTTCGGTATCTAAAGCATTTTCTGTATATTACATAATATGTAATAAAATAGTTTAAACGCTCACATGTACACAAATATATTACAGCGTTATGTTATCTAACTAGCACGTGCTGGAAATCGCGCAATTTCATTTTGATTTCGAAGTGGTGAAACGCACTTAATTTTATACTGCCTGAAATTAAATTTGGAACAGCTGATTGTCAAATAACTACATTTAAAAATAGTTTTGTGAATAAGAGCGTTTTAGATGTTTCAGCTTATGATAAATGCAATGCTTGAACCCTTGCCAGACCAACATCCCAAACAATTCTCTTAATTGCAGTCGCCTCCGAATAAAATGAAAATAACTATGAGCATACTCTGACTTGAATTAAAAGCTTCTCATAAAAACCCGTTTGGAGGCTGATTGGATTTTTTTTTAAAAGCATCTAACCGCCAAAAATTTAATCAGCGGTTATAAAGCGTCATCTAAACAGCTTGACCGATTTTAATGAAATTTTAGGTGCATATTCAATAGGTCTGAGAATAACATAACATATATTTTTTTCAAACCGGGAAGAGCACCTAGGACCTATCTATTCGAAAAAACCGTTTTTATGGTTTTAGCTAATATAAAAAATTTTGGAAGTGAACCAAGATTTACCAAGCAGGTATGTGATTGGCTTGATCCATTCCATAACCCAATGGATAGAATCATTCGTTGACTTAAGTTGAAGCATTAGTGGAAGGCACGCCCGTGCGTATAAGTGATCCGTTTCCGTGCATATACGTGAGTAAAAGTCGAGCAATTTCATAGCGTGAGCCATGAGAATTGTCATTTCAATGAATCATGCAGAATAGATATATTGTATTCAAGGGAGAGAAAAAATTATCCTGAATTGATAACGGCTTGACCGAAATAAAATTGAACTTTATTAAGATGCGAGATAATCTTAGTCACGATTCGCTTCACTTGAAATTTAATTTGTTGGTAGTTTATCGTTTAGATTAACATGCAGAAACTGGTTCTCAATAATACTATTTATAGTTCCATTTGCTTCGATTTTCTTTTATTCTCGTTCGTACGAGCTGCTTGCACTTTTTTTGTCTGAAACGGCTGGGTTTAATTTAAGTAATTTTATGAGAATTGCCTATGTTCGCGATGTTGTGAAACAGTCTTAGTTGTTTCTTCTTGCTCTGCTGATCGTGTTCATTTAAATAATTCACATTCAGATTTAAATTATCTAAATATTCGTAAATTTTATTATCACTCTTAATGCATGTAAAGGCCCTTAGTTAAAGCGAAGGTCTGCTAATATAATATATGTGTTATATAAAAAAATCGTATGTTTACGTTTGGAAAAATCCCGTTATCTCCAAAAATTTCCAAAAGTTACCGACCGATTGACAAAAAATTTCGGCAAGTGGATCCGTGACTAAGCTGTTCGAAAAAACTCTGCTGTCCGTTTTTAACAGGTGTTCTCCAAAAGTTATCGACCTATTGATTTGAAATTTCGTCAAATTTTGCTTTATGATTCCTGGGAAGTTTTATACTGGTAAATATATTCGGGAAGTGGGCTAGGAACTGACCTTTTCGAAGATATCTTATTAATGGTTTGATTTACTTGAAATTTGTAATACTGGTTGCTTTTTGTTTTGATTAACAGGAGGTCCGGGAAGTGGAAAAATCTTAATTATGGTTTGCCTTTTGTTAAGATTAATAGGAAAACTCAACTTATCTCCATAAAGTGGACCAGGGACCGACCTATTCGAAAAATGATTATTTATTGCTCGTTTTGGGGAAACTTTATGAGAGTCTGCCAGGCTTACAAAAAAATTCCCTTTTGGGGGGTTAAAGTAGGTCATACACATCCTAAAATGTATTTCGAGAAATTTGTTGTTAAAGTTGATTTTTTGACCTACCGAAATTCCCAATTAAAATCTAATTAAGCTCATGGAGCATTTACTTATAGCAATAATGTTGTTTTGATTTTGCTAAATTAATTTTGTCAAAATATTAATATTTGTCACCATTTTTACACCTAAAAAACTTATCACGTTTGTTTACTTTAGTAAGTAAAATGAAGTAAGGGACATCCCTAGAATCGGAAACAGAAAAACTGTACTGCCATACATTTGAAGAGTAAATATATTACAAAGGAATTAATAAATAACGTATTCAGGATACGATGAATTATAAGTGCAACACATTTACAATAAATAAATAATCCTGGGATGGACCAACACCGGATGCCCCTTGTAAGGTATTCTTAAATGAAACATCTTTGTTAGTTAGGGGCATTCAGCGGCTTTTAAAGAAATAACCCTGGGCCAAACCAACACCTGCTTTACCATGGACCGGACCCACATCGGCTTCGCCTTGCACAGCATTCCTAAGCGAAACGCCTTTGTAATTTAGCGGCCTTCGACCGCATTTAATAAAATAATCCTGGGGCCGGACCAACACCGGCTTCGTCTTACACTGTATTCTTATGAAAAGATATATTACTTTTTCATGCATTGAATGAGTGTTTGCAACAACGAAGCGTTGAACGGTACAGCTATATATAATCTTCCTTCCTGGGAGTGGGCTAGAAACCAGGTTCGATTTGTCTCAAATTTAGCGTAGGGATTGACTAAATTAACACCTACTAGTGCATTATTTCGGGAAGTGGATAAGCGAAGATTTACATGATATATGTTTCGAGTTTCACAGTGCTGTTACATATGTGTATCTATATCATAAGCATAGATCAGAATAATGGAGTTGGACGATTGGATGGGATAGCAAAAAGACCCCTTATCTCTAACTATCTCTGACACGAACCTTCCTTATCTGATTTCTCAGCCACTGTATAATACTAATGCCAAACACTGTAAACATGTACATACAACTAAGCACAGACAAATTTGCATGGGTGCAATAGTTAAATTTAAATAATTGTTGAGACTTGTTGAGACTTTATTGGAAAATAGCGAGTTCTTATTTCATCAAACCTGGGTATACTGAACCTACGCCTGCTATATATGCATACATATATGACAATACAGTCAAAGACAAAGCTGTCAAGTCTGCATTTGTCCATACAACTTATATACCCAGTTGGCGATGCATGTGTATAATTTGCAAAACCATGATCACTCAAGTGTATAAATTATCAGACTATGACAAAGCAATGCATTGTGGTACTTCGCAGATCAGAATGAAAGGTTCATATATAAAAGTCAGTCACAGAGAGAGGAAACAAAACGCGTTCAAGAACATGAGATTTTGGCTTATATATAATTTTTTGGCATGCCTTGTTATCAGCGGAATTGGTAAATATTAATTATAGATATAATTAATTTTTACATACTCAAGATATCTTTTCTTAATTAGAATTCACCATCTGTAAGAAAAAGTTATGTAGAAATGTGGAAGCGAGTGAACCTGAAGCAAACTCCAGCGAGCAAACAGCAATTCAAGTCATGGAATATCACAGGTAAGCTAAATACTGACATTTTATTTACATTTAGGTTACAGTGTATTACTTTCAGAGATATGGCAAATAATTTTATGGCATTCAATTACATTATTGGTAAAATTATTTATATAAATAAATATCAGATTCCTCATAAGAAGATGTCCAAACGGTTAAGAAATGGGCCCTACGTAACTAAACAACGTCGATTTCTAGAAGACTTCGAAACATTCTTCCATGTAAGCGACTCGGATTCAGATACAATGAACGTCACTGGCTATGCGAGTTACCAGAAACCCCACAATTTAGTGAGTATATTTAATTTTTATGAAGGTTTATGTACATAAATACATATAATAATATCATGCATTTTATTCTTTAATAGAATAGAATTCAGCCTTTAATTCTAAAGTCAGCAACCGAAAATAACGAATTGAGTCCCATCAGGAAATCAAGGATTGGTAAGATGCAATATTAAGGATATACAATAATGTACCATCAAAAATTATTTTGCTTCATAATTAATTATTATATTAAGCATTTTCCAAATACTATTTACTATTTGTACCAAAACGAACCTCTATTTGCTGTGGTTCACTCGTGAACTGATGGAAGAATGACGCTAAATATTTTTCGGTTGTGTTAAAAGTTTGGAAAGACCAAATAAAAAGAGTAATGAGAATATTCGGTTTGTTCCATATTGGTTTGATATATAGAAAGCTCTGATTTCCGAACGTGGCTAAGGCACCGATCTATTCGAAAAATCGCTTTTAAAAATCTATTTGTAACATGATTAGCTCTTTGTGTAAGTGAAAATAACTTTTTTTGAAAACTTAATTTTACGAGCACTTCATCTCGAAAGTACCTATAGTGGAATAACCCGATTGGCTCATCGTCTCAACCTGTGAACCATAGCGGTAATAGTTTGTCTGATAATAACAGATATTTCGTTTTTTTTCTCGATTACTATTAGACCCATTCGCATCGCTTATTTTCAGTGGTAAATACTAGCAATTCCGATCACTTGCTTCTTTAAAGCAATAATAACAAGTAAAACGGATTATCCATTCAACGGCATTTTCCTTCAATGTGTATGTACTCAAAAGAGAAAGAAAAGCAAAAAAGTTTTGTGTAAGTGCTGTCCGACATCATGTGAGTGTATTCGTGGACCCATCAGCCCATTCTTGTAGGGATGACTATCCTTCTTACATCAAGTTGCTGATTGTTTCTCTCAGAAATCGCGTGTGCAAATCCGTTTGGGTGCGGTTGACAGTGCAGCTTTTCAACGTCGATCTTTCCTCGCGTTTTTTGGCGAGGATTCTTTGTAAGAGAGAAGCGGATGTAAATCTTCGCTGCGTCAAGATAGGAATCTGATTCGATGTTATGTCCTCGGAACGCATGCACATTTATAACACTGGAGACATATTCTCCGTAAATCACAACATGGTAGATTTGATTTCGTGATTTTCGATACAACAGACAAGGAGCTTGATGATTTTCATTTGCCGAAATCGATCAGGGCCATCCGTATGGGGATATTTCGCTATGGAGGGTAAATTTTTTAACATCTTAGCATAGCAACCGTCTTTGGTTATATCGTCTTTGTTTTCCGTTGGGACGTGCCCGCGGTCAGCGATGAGTTGGAAAAATGTTGGTTAGGCGTTCATCTACCATATTGTATGCAAATTCTCCCCAGTCCTATCACAAATGAAACACCAAATTTGTGCTCTTTTATGTAGTAGGATGTATATATATAGATATATAATCCAAGAGAGGATATCATGAGATGCTAAAATCATATGTAAAACAAACGTTTCTGGCTACACCCAGGTAAATGACATTCAAAAGCTTTCCTTTACTTATGTACTATCATCGGAAATCTATATATTTATTAATTATAGTTTTTAACAAATAACCGTTATTTTATACTTTTTAAAAAAATATTTATTTGTTTATCAATAACTATCTTGTCCCCTTAAAAGTAACCCTTCTCAGATATAATATAATACACTAATACCATCGTTTTTTCCAATCATCGAAATACTTCTGAAACGCGTTTTTTCCTGTTTCCTGTTTCGATTACTATTTTATCTCGCCAATCATAGAAAAACGTTTTCCTTTCATAGGTGTCTTCAGTTTTGTGAAGAGGGAAAGATCAACGGGGGCCAAGTCCGGTGAATACTGGTTTTGTTTTTGGCCAAAAACTCAGGCACAAGCAAAATCATGATTATTTTTTCTGTATAACTTCTAGGTAGAATTCATGGTGCTCCACAATAATCCAGTCGAAGAAAACAGTGAGCAAATTCTTCACATTTGACCGAACTTGACGTGCTCGGGCGACTAAGACATCTTCTCGGCCTTCCTTAAACCGGTTATACAATAATTAAACTTGTGTTCTGCTCATATTAGACTCGCCAAAAGTAACAGTAAACATTTCAAATGTCTTTGCACATTTAGTTTCATTTTTTTTTCACAAAACCTAATACAGTTTTAAATAGTAAAAAATCGAACATACGTAACTCTCGAAATTTGAAAATAACTGTTATTTTCTGATAACACCTCGTAAGCATATAATCTCCAAAACTACCGAAAACTTGACCATGGAACAAACTATTCAAAAAATTTTATTTCCGGAACACTATTTTTCTTATCGCGAACTTAACCAGGGACGGGCTTTTCAAAATATCATTATTATAGTTCGATTTACTTTAAACACGGTACATAAATATTTTTGATTAGCCTAGCAGGAACACCACTCTTCCCTCCGTGAAGTGAGCTAAGGACCGACCTATCGGAAAAGTCGTATACATATGTAGTTGTTTAACTTGAAATTCTTTTTTAAGGGAGTGGATTGATCTATTTGAAGAAATATTCATTTTCAGGAGTGTAGTAGTTAAATTTTTGGTTAATATGCTTAAATAGAACACTTCTATTTCCTAAAAATGGACCAGAGATCTGACGCAAAGTTCAAATATAAATAATACCTTACTGAAGGGAAAGGTATCACCTACAGATCTAATAAATATAGTATGATTTTTTATTATACTTCGGCTGCGGATGTCAAATTATTCTTGTACGTTCAACTTGAGTTTAAAATAATCATTGATCCGAATAGTTCGTTTGACTTACTTCGAGGCATTCCTAATGACATTTTTCTGTGAGACTATGAGCAGCTTAAAGGTGCCCACACATAAAATTAAGCAGTCAGCTCAATCATAAAATAATTAACTTAATATTTTAATTTAAGTGTTGCTTAGTTATGGTTTTTTAACATTCTTTACAATGGCAATTGGACTTACAAAATGAAACACACAAGAAAATATTTTAGTTATTGGTATAAAGTCACAGAATAAATATTTTCGTGAAAAGTTAATTTGTTTATTTACAATGTACAAAGGAAGAAAAGTGCAGCGTTTTATTAATTTTTTTTCTCAAGAACTATTCAATGATATATATTAACAAATGAGCGCGATGCATAATGCCATTATCTGTCTTGATTTAACCCCATGTTGCAAATTAAAAAGACTTACCTTATTTTACAAGTACTTATTTTTCGTTATTCATAATTTGTATTTGAAAGGAGTGAAACGTTAAAAACACGAGTTGCAAAATGCTTCAAAGGTTCTCTTCAAAGTGGCTCTTTTTATTCAATGTTAAATGGTTATTTATTTAATTGAGTGCTAATGAAAACAATAACATGCATTTAATTAAAGAACGGAGAAAGCAAATTAATTTTCCTATAATGTGAATTATGTTTAATATGCAAAATCCATCAAGAGTGAGTTTACTTGATGATTTTTGAGTATGGTACTATGAGCGGACGTCCGGTCCCTTAATTGGGAAGGTGTCGCTAAAAAGCTGATTGATGCCCTCATATGGATAAAGGCTGATATCATCGTCGTCTAAGAAAGCGAGAGCGCCTATAGCATACTTATGAGCGCTGCCCCCGATGGGAAAATTCAGCATTTACAACGAAACATCCTCAAATGGGTTGAGGCTGATCGACTTCGCTGTCTGTAGTACTAGATTCCAGCACAAAAAATATACATCAAGCTACTTGGCTGACCCCTGATCGAAAAACATAAAACTACATCTATTATGTTGTGATAGAGGGAAGATATGCCTCCAGAGTTATTGAGACCCTGACACATCGACTCAGACCAATAGCTTGTTGCAGCAGGGGTACGAATCCACCTCTGTGTATCAAACAACGCCCGTCAGCAAACCCTAGAAAAGTTCAACATCGAAAACTGCAATCGCAACAGATTGCTCTCTGAGAGGACTCATTAGCAACACCGTATACGGGAACTGCAGGACGGTATTTCACGCTCACTATATACAGCTGCATAGAAAACTATTGGATTTCGGAAAGGTCGCAAAAGTGATTTCGGCGCATCTGCAGACAAAAGAAGAAAGAGGCCGAGATACGACAGCCTACAGAATGTTTCAAGCCCGGAGCAGACTCTCGTAGAACACAAAAATATGACCTAGCCCACGATGCCCAGAGCATATTGAATTTATGGAGGGAAAACTTCTCTAGCCTGCTGAAATTCAATCATTACAGTGAAGAGCTGACAAGGTGCATCCATCAGCAGAATATGGTCGGAGAAAGCATATAGTTGGTACTTAAGTGCGACCTGTCCAATCTATGAAAAAGGGGGCCCCCACAGTCTGCGCAAATTATCGTGAAATAAACTCCTTTAATATCGTTTATAACGTGCTGTCGAGCGTATTGTGTGAAAGACTAAAATCCACCGACAACAAACTGATTGGACCTTATCAGTGTGGTTTCAGACCTGGTAAATAAATCATAGGCCAGATATTTACCATAAGCAAAATCTTGGAAAAGAGTCCTGAAAAAAGGATCGACACCCACCACTTTTTGTCGATTTTAAAAGCGCCTACGCCACTTACACAACTTATACGGCTATATAAACTGAAGTTAAGCAACACTAAAAGGATGACCTCTCCGAGGCGTCCGATACCAAATGAGGTTTCAGAAAAAGCGACTCCTTATCGTGTGACTTCGTTAATTTTTTGCTAGAGAAAGCAATACGAGGTGCAGAGCTGAATAGAAAAGGTACAATCTTCGCGTATGACTTACGCCGATGATGCCGACATTATTGGCCAGAATAAGCGCGGCGTGAGTTCCGCTTTCTACAGACTGGATAAAGAAGGGAAGGATATGGGTCTGGTAGGTTACGAGGGAAAGACGAAATATCAGTCGTCGCCTACATGACCGGCTTCCACGTCACTGTTAAGAATCATAAATTAGATAAGTTGGTCTATTTAGGAACCACTGGTAACACCAACCCCAATATCAGCCTGGAAATTCAACGCAAAATCACTCTTGCCAACAGAAAAATACTGTATCGATGACCGAGGACTAAATTCTAGAAACCGCTCATATTCCACTCCTGCTATATGATGCGGAAGCATGGACGATGATAACATCTGATGAGTCGTTGTTAGGAGTTTTCGAGAGAAATCTTGTGCGTAAGAATTATGGTCCTCTGGTGTATACATAGTTCAGCGAATCAACTCCTTTAATACGGATGGATAAGTCTCGTTACTCTAGCTGCTGGAAGCAGAGGAAGAAAAAGACCAAACGCTGGTGATTGTAGTTTAAGTGCGGGAATCGGTCGATGAAAACTCACTGGAGTAAGAGCTACTGACTAAATTGATATATTTGTGGCTCAGCAGATTGCTTGATTTGTGTGTGGTCCAGTTATTCGTTCAAAAGGAAAATAAAGAAAGGAAAATGGGAAAACGGAAAAATATTTATACCTAAGGAAAAGAGTGCATCTAAATGAAAGTAGTTAGGTAAAGTGTGTGTGTAGCTGTTTCAGCTATGTTGTTCTCTATTTTAACAATCCGCACTTTTGCTTTTACGAATTCAATAGCAAGTTTCTTCACTGCATGACTTTGTGTGAAATTTTTTTTCAAAAACTAAGTCTCCCACATTGAATTTCACCACTTTTTTTAATAGTTTTTGTTTCTTGTTGATATTGATCTCATTTTAGATAAGTTCTGGCTGCAGGTATTATGTAGCGAATATCCCTTTCAGAGTACTAATTGTTTACAGTTAAATTGTTGGTTATTGTAAGTTAGTAGAGGCGATCAAAGCAGACTAAATATATCTTCTAAATCGAATTTGTAATTAAATGTTTAACTGCCTTTTTTTTTTGTCAGAAAAATTAAAATATCATCAGAATACAACTACCTCGTTATCTATGTCATGTTTGCTCTTCTTTGGTCGCTTAGTTAAATGGGACTCCTTATATTTTTATTTTTGCCAGTTAGGTCAAGATGTCGAAAGACGAAAAGGAGCGGAGAACGTTTGCATTCTCCAGCTGGTAAGGGAAATTCCACCATGTCACGAAAGTGTTTTTCGTTGTACACTTGTACTTTCGTCTCATTTATAATACCTCTTTTTAAACGGCTCCTTCGACACGGTGTTAACCCTTTTTTGCATTGATATTTTTTAATGTACCTATTTTTCTCCTTATGTTTGTGACGTTTATATAATATAAAAAAATAAATACCAGTTCGTACTGTCGAATATGTTTCTTTTTTTGCTGGTTTACGTTTTTTACGCATTCGTCCCTCGCACTGGAGTTGCTGCTGCTGCTAGGTTGCTCGGTTTTGTATATGCTTGAGTTTTGGCAACCAGTAGAGTATGAAAGCGAATTATGCTGGAAACACATGTGCAATGACGCTACACGCAGTACCGAACGTTTACTGCGGGCAGTAAGATCTCTTTGACAGTTTCGAGTAGTTAAAAACTAATAATGAAACAGCAACACGTTTGTTATTTCACGTATAGTATAGTATTTGCCTTATTTGACATACTTGTTCTCTTTGTTGCCATCCGTACAGCGACTCTAATGTTGCAAGTTGCTACTACCCATTTTACTTACCATCCGTCCATAACAGGCGACGTAAAGAGCGAGATACATACACAATTGTTGACTTAGTTGAGAGCGGCGAAATGTTGCCAGCCGCCAGTGTGTGCTTTACTTATTCTTGCTGATTAGCAATTATTGTTTTATTTAGCAATTGTTAACATATGCCATGTTAACATGTATATATGTACATATATACAATTGGCACTCTGTAACCGCCGAGCTCCTCCTCCAATTTGGTTTTCACGTCTTGATATTTTTCTAACAAGATGGAGGGACCTACAATTTATACTAAGTCACCTTCGAACGGCGAGGAGCCTTTATCTCTTGTCCAAAATACACACAGCGGGATGGATATTCCCTGCCGAGGAGCGACCACAATTAGAAAATTTAACGCCATTACGTTTTGTTCATATGAAAAATTAATTTACCGGAAGTATTTGTTTCGGCGCCATGTTATGGAAACGAAATGAAATTGTGTATGTTGAAGCCGCACAAGCACATCGTTACTTTTTAAATTGTCTTGTTATTATTATATTTAGCAGCATTATCCAAATTTTAACGTTTAACATTATCTGTTAACGATTTAACATTAAATTTTTATTATAAATCAGCGAGCGAAAAACCTGTTTTTGAACAAATGGAAAATTTTTGTTATACAGCAAACAAAAAGTAGAAATGTCAGCTGTTTCGGAGAGCTGGCTTCTTTTGGCAGGTATTGAACCAACGGATCCTGACTTAACAAGCGAGTGCTCTACGACTGTACCAACATCGAGCATGTAATGTGTTGTTGCATAATTCAATTCAGTATTAACCAACAACAATTAATTATCTAATTTAGGTAATAATGAATTGCATAATAAAATTTTAGATTGATAACTGCAGATCTTAAAAAAATTAGTGGAACGCACTTTTGTTAAGATATTAATAAACATATATAGGCCAGCAATGCTCCTTTCTTGTATATATATATATGTAACGCTTCGCTGTCGCTTATATTCATGGAATGTATGAAAAATTAATCATGGAACATTTATCATAACTTTATCCACTTGATACTTATGGGAATACAACATTTTTGGTTTCACCATTGACATTAGTCCATTTCCTGGAGGGAGGAATAGCCCGACAATTTGAATAGACGAGTAACCGGTTCATTTTACGGAGAGAAAAGTAGTTATACTTTTTTAATAAGTTCCTGGTCCACTTTCCGGGAAGAATAACAGTTCATTTCTCTTAAAAAGGGTTGTACATAAAAATTAAACATAAAATTTCGTTGAGAAGAAAGCTTCAAGTATTCAGTTTATAAACTTTTTTTAATGAATGCAAATGTTTGTTTTAATTTTTTAGTAGTAGTTAATATAAATTATTAATACAATTTTTAAGTATTGTTCACAATATAGGGATTATCTTATTCCTAAAGGCTTTTAGCATATAAAGAAATTACGTGCAATTCGGTTTCCATATTAAATTTGTATAAATACTAGCCGTTCACTTAGAATTTTTAAAATTTTAAACATTTTTGACATCTTTTAATCATGTGAGACTATTCTGTCTCGACCACGATATTCTTTATTCAACAATGTATTTCCAAAAATGACAGAAAAATAAGTGATGAGAGAGTTCTTAAATAGCAAAATCTGTGCACCATAAGATTACTGTAAATTAGGGTAAAAAATTAGCGGTAGAAAATGAGTACAACGAGAAATACATGAGCTCAGTATAACTGAACAAGTATGCAGTTATTGAGTACGAATTGAGTGCGAATGGTAAAGTAAAGAAGGAATGGCATTACATCGAAAAATACAGTTGCTAGCTCGACATAAAACTATTCAAAACGTTTTAATTATATTTGTAATTAAGTTTAAAAAATTACTATGCAAGGCTTTAGAGTTTTATAGTCAAAATATAATACTGTTTGTTTCATGCATAAAACTTTTATAGGTATAGCTAGTTGGTTAGTGTAATTACATTATCGGAATCGTAGTGCACCTCAAAGTTTCCACCTAACGAACGGATAAGTTATATTTCCTTAAGGAGTTTCGCTTCACTGAAGAGAAGACTAATAGAGAAATTTCATCTCCACAGATTGTGTAACAAGTAGTTCCATGTCAAAGTAGATAGATGCAAACATTTTTGTAACCGTCGGAAAGATTTAGGAGACCTTTGCCAAGAGAGAAACATCCCTTTCCCTCTAACTTCGTATATTTAATTTTTTATGCGCTTACTCATCGAGACGGTTCAAAGCGAAAAATTCTACTCCATCTGAACTATGAATAACATCTTGGTTAAATAATGATTTAACTTAACTTTGAAGACTATTTTGCATTGCTTTCACTTATATAACTGTTTGTAATATTTATATTTAATATTAATTATAAAATTAATTTAATTATAAAATTATTTTATAACATTATATCTATTTTATTTTTCTCATTCCACTAGGTTGATGTATATTTTATTTTTTTCAGGCTATAATACCATAGAGAATTCTCATTCTACTCAAGTGTTGGAAGAACTTTCAAGCAAAGAAATTAATCTTAAGGACGTTATGGATATAGCTTTAACAACGTTGTCATTTTTATCATTTGGAATGTTTGTTTTGCAAATACTAACATTCGTTACTAATGTAAGAAGCAAAATACACTCTATCTCTCGTTTTAATATTATTCTTTTTTATAAAGGAAAACCTTGATGTAAACAATATTATGTTGACACATCCAGTTTCAACGACTTTCATTAGCGGAGGAGATGAAATTGAAGAAGTTCGAAGAAAGAAAAGATCATCTTCAAAACTATTAATCCCCATGAAGGTATGAACCGGTTTCAATCCGAAAGCCCTGGAAAATAATCACATGATAAGTAGATAATACACCAATATTAATACTTTTTAATCCCTTGAACTTCTTTCCGAGATTATATTTGAAACTACCGAAACCTAGTAGATATTATGTTTGACAGCTAACTATTTCGGTCATAAGAAAGAAGAAGTGAATGGGGAAAATGAAAAAAATTTGATGGGTGCTTTATTACAGAAAATAGGAGGTATTGGATTTTATTTTATTTAAATTGTACCAGACTTGAAAAAAAAAAACAAAATTAACAGAATTAAACAGTAACATATGTATGTATACCATTAGGGGAATAAGAACTATTTCAAAAATTAAATTCTGTTTTGAGTATTTTTCTAATAAATTTTATTTTTTATTCATTCGCTACCGTAAGGAATTTTTCCGCCATCTACCACTTTTATACCAGGTATACGAATTTTCAAGCCTACACATTATAAGAAATTACAATCAATAATTAAATTTTTTATGCCTATGAGGGCAGTGGACACATTTTATATTCAATTCCTCCCCAAATCGATTGAGGATGAGCCCTGATCGAAAACCACAAAAGCAGATCGATCACATTGTGATAGACGAAAGGCATGTCTCCAGTGTTCTTAACACACAGCATTCGCCTCTGTGTATCAAAGAACGCCTATCAACAAAAACAAGGAAGGAAGGCCAACCGTCAGGGTGGCTTTAGGCCTAGTAAATCAATCATTGGCAAAATATTCACCATGCGCCAAAACTTGAAAAATACCCGTGAAAAGAGGATCGACACAGACCACCTCACCTGGTATTTCTGCAAAACTTAGACGGCTATGTAAACTGACACCAAAAGCTCCGTCAGGATCGGAATAGACCTGCCCGAGCTACTCGTTACCAAACAAAACACAGGGTGATTCCTTACTTCATCGGCTCCAACAATAGTGTCACGAGTTCTGCTTCCAAAACGGATCATATTCAATTCGTTTAAGTGCATATCACAAGCGTTGAAGCGGATAATTAAATGAATTCCTTTCAATTCACGCGGTACTCAAATATCCAAGTTGATTCGATTAAAGCCTTGCCATTATCAACTTCATTTGGGCGTCCTGAGCGTGGCTTATCCTTGAGTAAAAAATTTCCCGAACGGAAAATAACAAACCAAATTCGACACTGAGTTTCTTTTAAGGCCTTATCACCATTCAATTTACGCAACTTTTTAGCAAACTGCACTGCTTTTTTTCCTTTACAGAAATAATAAAGTAAAATATGGCGAAAGTGTTCTTTTGTGGACTCCATATAAAAATTTACGCCAGACAGAAAAATACAAACAAAATTACGCTTATCTTTTTTCTAAAGCAAGCTAAAAGTGACAGTTTATAAATGTCAATAGAAAAGATACAATTAAATAGTCACAAGCTGTTGAAAGAAATTGTTAACGCCGTCTGTATTGCCTTCGGGGCAATCCAATATTTTATGCTACCTTCATAATGAAGTGGGAGTTTCAATTTCCCACTCTATGACAGCTGATATAACAAAAAGTTAGCACCCAATACTTTGTATGTAACAAGAATATGTGAGCCTCACTTTGTATATTCATAACAACCATTTTATTTAAAATACAATATAATGCTGAGCATTTGCATAACTTAATTTTCATGGTTCAATAATATACCAGCGGTCAGCAATATGGGGACCGACACCATATGAAACTTTTTTAAACATTGGTCCCTATCTTAATGGAGTATAATAGACTTGAAATTTCTTAATATAGCAATAATGTATTTTACAGAGTTGTATCTTTAAGGCAAATTATACATATTTGCATTTAGAAAGTAATTATAAAGGGTAGTTCAGATGGCTTAGATGGCGCATCCGTTGTGTCCAATTGACGAGTGTCGATGACTCGTTTGAGCATTTCGACTGGTAACTGGCGAATTACACACGTGATGTTTTGTACCAAGGGTTGAACCGAAGGGGCATTGTGCGCATAGACTGAAGAATTTACATATCTCTTCAGGAAAAAGTCTAACGACGTGATTTCACACTACCTTAGCGACCGATGCACCAGCCCAAAACGTGAAACTATCATAAATTAATCCATTGATTGATGCGATGTGTGGGTAGTGGCGCCGTCTAGTTGAAACCAACGTCGCCGAGATCACATGATCCAATTTCAGGCAACCGACTATTAAGGTTATCATGATACCACCGGCCCAGAAACTACCCCAAACCGTTATTTTTGTTCTGTTGAAAATACAGCTTTTGAATCTCTTCAGATTGCTCTTCGTCTAGATGCGACAACTTTACTTGTTTAAATACCCATTGAGCCAGGAGTATGAGGTCAAAGTTATAGAAAATAATTTTTTTCTAATTGCGTTCATCATTCGGCAAGGATTGTAGCGCCCTCCAATTGGGTTTCTGTAGCTTAGAATTAAGCCTGGGTATCTCCATTAGTTGGGAAAGCATCAAGGCGGGCATCGTAAATTGGAGGAAGAGCGCGGCCGAAGCACGCTTCAGCAGTTGCAAAGCGCCAATTATAGAAATAACAATTGTATGCATGTATATTTCTCAAAAAATAATTTGTTATTTTCAATATTTATTGCTATTTCTCTGAATTTTTCGGCTTTTGTTTCTTTTTTCGCCTTTCTTTTGGAATTTGGAAATATCACGTTGAGTTAAGGCAGAGTCAAAGTCTGTTTCTACTTACTATCACATGGCTCTTATTTCATCATGTGTACATATAAACATAAAACAATTTTAATTTCGATTTATTTATAGTTCGATAGCCTTGCTCGCAGGTCTTTGTGTTTATTGGACTTGTATTTCAATGCATCTGGTATTCATTATCCTTTTTACTACTCTCTTATCACAAAATATGACGAAATAATGAGCAACAAATTATTTGATGGCATATTTTTGATACCGATTTGGAGGTAAGATGCATACACAAGCTTTTGTAAAATCTGTCTAATATGTGATAGAAAAAATATATTTTCAGGTTTTTACAAGCTGACAAAATACATGATGAAAAATATCTACATTAAAGCATTTATATCATACTAGCGGACCCAACAGACGTTGTCTCGTCCGACGTCTTAAGTGTAAACTTTGAATTTAGCTGTATCATTAAGATCGTTTTGATGAAAATCGACCAATCGCTTTCTGAAACGTTAAATGTAGAAGCTGTGTTTAATAAAAACTTTAAGTCATTTTGTTGAAGATATGGAGGGTGACCTCATCATTCTTTAAATAATACTTGTGAAAAAAATAAACAAATTGAATTACAATATGATATAATAAATAAAACTTAAAATTAATGAACTTATAAATGATCACCTGAATACTTACCCGTGTATTCAGGTATGATATTCACCTCACTAAATTTACTCCGTCTCTAAACATCCTTACCGGCAATCCTACTGCCTTCCGTTATTTATTCAAATAGTTATGTAAATGAAAATGTATAAAATCATAAGGTAAATATATTTTTGAGGTATTCTCTCGCTATTATCAAATCTATTGGTCTGAAGAAATCAATAATAACAATATTAAATAAACAAGTTCGAAACCAGAAACACCGTGTCACTTTATTTCGAAACTATTACACATTTTAATTAAAGGTGAAAAGTTTGAATATTAAACTATTCAATAAGGGGTATTTATTCTTAGAGTTGATTATCTACAAAAACGTAATGCCATAGGATTCATAATATTTTTGGTTAATCCTTGAGAGGTACAAATAAATTAATTCGGTGGTTTCTCCACTCTCGGGCACTCTAATTGACCTCAATTGTCAACGTCTGTACGACGGTAAGATGGGTAACCATCGATAATGATGATGGTATCAGCTTTACATGGTTTTTAAAAATGCTAGGTGCATTTTCCACTGTCCATATTTGGTGGCATCATGTTTAAAGTACCGGTTTGTTTGAACACGCGGGCAGTGACATTATGACAATGCAAATTTTTAATTTCAGCCCCGTTTGGATTACATGTAAATGTGATGAAATGATCTGGCTGACCACAAACACGAATATATATGTGGTGCCGATGTTGTAAATGTTATTTGTTCCACCTACGTTACCCTTAATGGTGTCACGCACATGAACAGGTTTTGCAGTCTGTTTGAAAGAGATTTGAATAATCGTACTAATTAGTTATTGTTTTGCAAATTTCAACGATTTCTCGAACCTCCAAATATTTTATATATACTGTGTAATATCTTCATTTATGAACAATTCACGGATTTCACGCAAAACTTTGATTGAGATGTGTTTCCAGGTAATAGCGTTTTCAAAGATTCCGGTGGCGGATTTATTGTAGTAATGGCAGTGAAATTTTTCCAGATGCACAATATAAACTGACCGATTCAACTTTGTATTTGAAAGTGTTCTTCTTCTGTTCTGATCAGTTGGTAGTTATGGACGATTTGGGCATTAAGAGAACGTCGACGAATATTTCTTGTACTTCTGCGAAGACGTGACATTTTTTTGTAGAAATATATACTATCAAAAATACACATCAAGCAATGTAAATAACTTCTGAAAGTGAAAGTTTACAGTGCTAAACAAATTGTATTGTAATTATAAATTTATTTCTTACTTTTGTATATTCACAATTTTCACTAAAGTAAGTCATGTCCGTTAGAAGAAATAATGGTTGGTACATCCAACCAAATGTATTAAATGTATGTATGTATCAAATGTGTTCAGCCGAACTGTTCTTTATTTTCATTCAGATATGTATTGTATAGAGTATCATAGCAGTATGAATATTTAGACACTAACACAATGCACACGAAGTCTATAGTCTCCATAGTTTAGACTATACTTACGCTAAGTTAGAATCTGATCTCAGCGCCTCCATCACTGAAACTCAAATTTACTTTTGAATATCTGGCACTACTTCAGCGCAGTCTGCCTGTCTGTGTACAAAAAACGTTCTAACATTAACAACAATTGATAAATAAGTAAATTCATTGATAAAACATTATCCAGTTGACCGAATTGTAAATTTAAACCTTTATCAAATCCCCTTAAATACACGCAAAAAATTTCAGAAGAAGTTCAATTTTAAACACACGTTGATTATCACTTTTTTATTATATGTGTTTAAGCCAAAAGCATTAAAAATTTTAGAGCCACTGTGTGTCTGGCAGAACTGCAGATGATCTATAATTACCGGTGTGCTTTTATGCACATTCGTAAATAGAGTTAAGCATAAACGGAATAAGAATTCCGTATTAGTTATTATTCTAAAGTTTTCAGAAAAGGTTACGTCTTCGCGCAGTATTTATTTATTCTATTAAAGATAGCTGTTTATTTATAGTTATTATATATTAACATTTGGAAATACACTTATTAAAGGTAAAACTTTGGATTTAATAAAAAAAGTTAGTACTTTCACTACCACCCTTCATTTAACATAGTTTGTTTCTTTTTAATTGATTGGGTCGCGGGTTCGTGCCGGCGTTCTTGTAGTATATTGAGGCCTAATCTGGACAATGTTTTTGTTTGAAGAATAAGCTAAATAAAACATATATTAATGTATTCGTGTCTCTTTCTTGAAATCCCTGTTCTGTTCTATCCTATTCCTACTGCGATGTTCATTTGAGTATCTCTACTAAAAGTACAAAACTTAGTGTGGAGTAAATTCAAAATTAAGCCGCTTAAAGTACAATATTTATTCCCCAAGTTTCAGATAATATAATACAATATTATCAAATGATTTAAACTAAAATACCTCCCGTACACGGTATAAACGGGCACAAAACATGTCACCCCTAATAAAAATCACAATCCAATAAATTATTTATTGTATTTGTATGTTACTTACAAATATATATATATATATATATATATATTAATTATGCATTGTTGTGTATTTACGTATTGTACACATAGTGTAATAATAAGCTCCAACCTAGCGAAGCTCTAACTGTTATTCAATATCGGTGCATACAATAAGAAGTATTAAGTATGAAGACCGGAAATTTGCTTTTTTCGGAAATGCTATCAAAAAGTCCGAAAAGTAGTGGAGAAAAACTATCAGATCATGCTATGATTGGACAATTAAATTCTTTTTTATTCGATGCAACTGATAACGATGCTGTCGAGCGGCATGACCAAGTAAGTTGAAAAATCGAAAATTGTAACGAATTCTTTTTATATTACATATATATATACAATATATATATATATATATATATATATATATATATATATGTGTATGTAAGTGCTATTTTTTTGATTTATCAACGTATTATTGATTTATCAAAATCCATATGGAATGGTTGAGTAGATAGCGATTTTAAATAAATTTGTACATGTATGTACGAATATCTATGTAGCATACAAATATACCAATCCCATGATGTCGTTATAATTAAAAACATTTATCATATGAACCGTAAATCATCAAATAAATTGAAGCCAAACCAAATTAAACTTCAGAAAAAAACTCAAAAGGAGAATATAGAAAACTAATACTTTCCATTACCTTGAAATAGTATGTATTGGATGAGTGCATAGGTTCGTGCCCCATTTCAAGTGCAAACTAAAATTGAAATTTTTTGAAGAAAGCGCTGTTATTAATCAATTATGTATTCCCCATCATGTTCGGCAATCCACTCCCACCGTTCAACAAATTTACGGATGCCTGATTCATAGAAATCGCGCGGTTTCTCGTTGAAAAAGGTGTCAAGGTGGTTTTTGACGTCTTCCACATTTTTAAATTTTTTTCCATTCAAACAAATGATAATCAGAAGGTGCAACTTCAGGAGAATATGGGGGATGAGGCATGATTTCCCAATTCATCTCCTTCAGTTTGGCCAGGGTCGGTTTTGCAACATGTGGCCTGGCGTTCTCACGATGGAAAAGAACTCTTTGCGATTGGCCAAAATCGGACGTTTTTCATCAATTGCTTTCTTCAATTCGACCAATTGCTGACAATACTTGTTGACAGTGATCGTTTCTCCAGCTGGCAAGAGCTCAAAATAGATCACGCCTCGGATATCCCACCAAATGCATAGCAGTACCTTCATCGGATGCAATCCACCTTTCGACATCGGTTCCTTCGTGTGTCTGTTTCCATGTTTTTTTGCGTTGAACATTGTTTTACAGGATCCATTTTTCATCACCAGTCACGATCCGATCCAAAAAAGGTTCGTTTTTGATCCGTCGAAGCAAAGAAATTGCTGTTGACATACGGTCCACTTTGTTTTTTTCACTCAACTGATGTGGCACCCATGTATCGAGCTTCAAAGTGTACCCAACCTTTTTTAAACGATTTGATTAGTTGATTTGTTGACGTTCAATTCACTGGCAACCTCTTCCGTCGAAATACGTGAGTTATTCGCAACTAAAGTCCTTAGAACATCGTCATCAAGCTCAGAAGGCCGTCCACTGTGAGGTTGATCTTCGAGGTTAAAATCTCCAGAACGAAATTTCGCGAACCATTTCTTTACTATGCGGAGTGCTGGAGCACTCATCCAATAAGATCAGAAGAAGAAGAAATGGGCCACCAACATTTATAGTGATGGGATCAAACTGAAGAGCTAAGTTACTTTAGAAGTGTCCGTCTGTTCGAATATAAGTAAACAACCCGGTTCAGTTTCAGAGGTATTTCAATCATCCTGGGTACGTGGATATATTTTTATGCATCTGGAACCGGCCGATTTCGATAACTTTTAGTTTCAGTGTGCAATTCACATCGTGCATGCCTCCGCATTATATAACAGGACAAAACTATTTTGCAGAGAATGGTATTTCTTACCTATTCAGTTCAAAATACCCCCGGTTGGCAAAAGTGATCCTGTGCGGTATTTAAACGACTGTTAACAGTGTCGTGGGAGAAGAATCGCGAATGCGATGACTGTTTGTTTAATAAAAGAAAACATTTCTTCTGGCCTAGTCCAGTATTAGACTTATATGATTGGCTTCCTTATATATGGTAACTTATATGCGATGTTACGGAGGTTTGTTCTACGGTTATTGGCGCAACCTGCGTGATCGCCATTTTCTGGATTTAGCTGAGCATACTAAGGTTGCAATCGTCGGGCTTGCTTGCATCCGGCCATATTTTGCAAAAAAGCTTATCAGTTCTTTGCCGACGGCCAGCAATTCTTCGGTCCCGCCGCTTTGCTCAAGCGAACGATTTTTATTCGAACGAGCTGTTTCGACGGGGTTGGACCAAAGGGAGAGGGTGGTTAGATGAGTTGGTTTGAGAGGGCATGTGGAGAGGTGACTAGTGTCGTGCGGAGACTCTCCATAAGCAGGGCATATGTTGGGTATGCTGGGGTCTAGCCTGGATAAGTAGGAGTTAAACCTGCTAGAGTATCCAGATCTGAGTTGTGTCAAGGTCACGCGGATCTCTTGAGGCAGCTCGAGCTCGTTGTCTGCTATGGTTGGTGATTTTTCTTCGAGCACGTCATTCACTGGAAGGGAGTCTTTGAAGGTGTTGACTGACTCTTGTTGAATGGCGTTCAGTGCTTGTCTGTTCACTTTCGAACAAAGGTCATAAATATCCTGGCCAGACGCCTTTATCGTACAATCATCGGCAAACTCAGGAGTTTCGAAGTGTAAAAATTAAACAGTAGTGGGGAGAAGACATCAACCTGCAGAACCCTCCTTTTAACTTTTCTGGATTTCGATGTTTCACCTCGGAATATTACCGATGATTGTCGCCTACTCAGGTAGCCCATGACCCACCTCTGCAACCCCGACGGTAATGAGCATTCCTCAATGTCCGTTAGTAGCACTGAATGGTTGATTGTGTCAAAAGCTTTTGGCAAATCCAGTGCTACCAGGACAGTTCGCACGCAGGGCGGCTTTGGTTAAGGTGTTTATGACGTTTAGTGCTGTTGTAGTGCTGTGCACTTTTCGGAAGCCATGCTGATGTGCTGCTAGACGCAGATAGTGAGGGAAGATCGAGAGCAGCAAGGCCTCAAGTGTCTTCGCTACTGGGGAAAGGAGAGTTATCGGCCGATAAGACTCTTTTTTGTTGGCTGGTTTCCCCGTTTTGAGTAGCGGGACCACCCTGCCCGTTTTCCGCACGTCAGGTATCATTAGAGTGGTCAAATACTAGTGAGGGACCTTAGTGAGAAATTCTGTTCCCGCTGGTCGGAGATATTTTAGCATCAGCATACTTTTTCCGTCGGACCGATAGATTTGGAGGCTTTCTCTTTCTTGATGACTCCCTGAACCTCTTCCCTGGAGAAATCAAGAGCCGTGCTGGTATTTGGCAGTTTGCGCATACGGCGGGTTCACGTCGCTTCGCTTTGTCTACCAAAGGATGCAGTGTCAAAAGTCGGTTAAAATAGCTCCCGCATGTCTTCGGGTCCGAGGAGGCGCGATCACCGAATCAAATTTCCACCCGGTCATCGCATCTCGTCCGGTTTGACAAGGACTTGTCTGTAGCCCAGAGCTTGGCTGCCCCAGAGGAGATGTTGCAGGTCCTCAAGTGTTCTGGAATTGGAGTTTCGAAGGGTGTCGCGCCTTGATGCTAAAACCACCGCTTTTTTAAGAAAATTAGCGGCGGATTTCCTCTATCCGGCCTGCCAGAACGAAGCGGGAGGCAGCGGTCACGACGATCCTATGGAATAAACGTTCACCAGTAGTGACGTCTGATAGAGGGGGGAGAGCACTAAAGGAGCTCTTGGTGAATTCCGTGAAGCCGGACCAGTTGGCTTATTTTAAAGTTGACAAATGTCCGTTGATCCGTGGAAACAAAGTCGGGAGGCCTTTCAATCGAGATTTGATTGGGTAAGTGGTCCGAAGCTAGTGCCAGTACGGGTCGCAAGACTATACTGTTTATCAGACCAGCACTCGCAATTGTTATATGCTGCAAGCTTTAGCAATTACCCATAACGGTTTTCACCCCTGAGTAGCGCACCTATCAAAACCAAGTATTTTACATACCTCACAGCCACTACACATACAATTTATCGACGTTGCTTGCAGCGGCGATATGTTTTACTGCAACCAATTTCTTAATTTAAATGTTCGAATATAAAAGCTTATTAAATATGCATGCTTGATTCATGTGGTAATACATAATTAATTACTAATTTAGCTTACATTTATGTCGCAAAAATGTGCATTTTCTTCGTAAATTTAAAATAGTGGTAGTAACTCTTCATTTATAAGAAGCTCTCAGGCAATACAGCCGAGCCGCTATGTTTTTGGGTAGTTGCAGTAAAACTTTGTATTGGCTTGTATTGCAAGCGGTGGCAATAATTGCACCGCATTGCGGGTTCTTATTGTCTTTTTTGGGACGGTTGGCTCAATGTTCTATTTGAAAAAGCCGGTAATGTTCGTTCCGAATTATTAAAATCGTGCTTCGGGCCTGACAAAGACATGGTTGTACTTGAACTGCAACTCCAGCTGCCTCTATTATGGTGATGGTCGAACACAAATTTAATGCTGCAACACGCCGACGATAAATTTTGGTCGCCCAATTCTCATTTGAAGAGTAGCAATAATCATATTTACAGTTCTGTCGCATTCTTCATTGAGATTAAGATGTAACTGCTATACAAGAGACTGTATTCCGTCCAATAGCGACGCAATGACAGGTGCAAATAGATCTTTTACAGGTTACTGAATAGTTAACGTTCTTAGTGGTGTTGAGTCTGGCAGTAAAAAGCCGTTATTAATAATCGTAGCGGTAGCGGGCGCGATCTGAAATGGCACCACCAAGTTCGGAGTTAAGTAAAAGGACGGCGTCATATTAAAAGCTAAGTCCCTCATAGCGGATGAAAGTATTCTTCTCTTAGTAAAGCCTCGCTCTGTTCTAGGATTTCGCATTGTTTATGTAGCAATTCCCTTTGACGAAGCCCTTGCGAACCAATAGAGTTTATAGAGTGAGCGAGTCTTATTGGTTGATTCCAATGAGACGGTATTGTATTGACTGTTGGCAATAGCGGGATATGTTAATGCGAACCTGCATTAGTAGCACCAGAAAGGTTAGTGACCGCCGTTAAATTAGGTGTCGGAGCGCAGTTAGCTGGTACAGCGGCTGCATCGTTCATGTTGGCAGTAGTCAACTACAATGTAATTTTCAATGTTGCTGGAGATGGGCTATGAGGGCAGAGTAAATTTTTAAGATTCATTAATTATTTTTTTAAAAA